AGATCTAAAGCCAGGGAAAGAACATCTCAGTCTATAACTTGTTTTTATGCTTTCATTAAGACTTTTTGCTTAAACCTTATTTCGCTGGTTAGGAAGCTCTAACATCTACTTATTAGAAATAAATTTTACAAATTTTCAGTTCATCCAAAATTAAATGCTTAGTAGTTTGTGAAGAACCATTCCCTGTAGCAGTTCACCCTCAGAAAAATATACATTGTTCAAAAGAAACAACAATTTTTGTAAATTGCAAACACATGTTGTGAAACCTTTACCAAGAAAGGCAATTTTTCTTTCCCGGCTCCGAATTGCAGACTTTATTTCCCGGCTCTGAATTGCAAAAGCTTTCAGAATCAATAGTTGTAATGTTCAAGAAAGTTGTTATACCTCAAGATACAGTCAGAGCTAGATAAAGATCCCAAAACAAAATAAAACATTTATATTGCTTACTTTTTGTAATATAATCTTAGTCTAAACGCATAAGCTTCACTCAATAGTTTTAAGATCACTTCTAAAAAACAAACTGAAACATGACGAGAATAAAAAAAAGTTTTTTAAAGTGCTTGAACTTATAGAGTGTTTTGAGGAATATGATCGTATGAGGAAATTTGTTAGGTCAATTCTTTCCAATTAAAATATTACAATAGAACTGGTTTTTAATCAGTAGATGTAAGTGCTACATGTGATCGGTCTCGAGGGCTCTAGCATGTGGTATTCTTACGAGAAATAATTTATTCCATCAATTTCATCCCAACATTTTTACAAAAACTCCAATAAATCTCATACTGGGTGACTCCACGCTTACTTTGACTATAAGTGCTTTTGCTCGTGATCGAAACATACAGAAAATTAGTAAAGAATAAAAAATAGTGAAGAATTTTTGAGATAATAGCTTAGAAACGAAAATCGAAAACAAATTGCAAACTTCGGAAAAGATCGATATCTAGAAAAAGGCGAAGTGCAAAAGGAAAAAAAGGTAAAACCCCTTTGAGTACGGCATTATGCAACGGTTGATAACACCGAATCGATGGCGCATTGGAATGCAGCTGGTTGGAACAGCAGAGCAGAAAAGGTTATTAACCAAGCAGTAACCAGTAGAGGGTATTCAGGAGAATATCCCATGAGAAAAACGAATCGAGCGGCCGAGACGTTTTTTTTCCAATGCGAACCATGTCGTTCAGTGTGAAAGATCGTTGTGCACTTTTTGAAAACATCGCATGATTCAACATGGCCAGCCCTGCGGAGACTGGGTACGCATGGGTATAATTTGCGCCAGATGCTCCATAGTTTAGATTTCAGGGTTTCTTTGTTTTGGAACTTATTCGTATGAGAGCGTTTATTATGGAAATCAATATTCGCTCCATGAGTTTGGTGCCGTTCTACAGAATTAG